GTAAAAAAAAGTTGTATTAGTTATTGAATTCGCGAAACAAACAACAGAAATGTACATGGAAAAAGTGATCAAAATGTGGCTGCAGATTATTATTAGTGGTATGAAGGCGGAAGCACAACCATACTGGCTTAGAGTAATTAAGCTAAGGTACAATTAAAAATGAAATGGGATATTTTATTCCAAGTTGTAATTAATTTTGAATATAGAAATTGAAGTCATTTCGCATTATATATTGGCCTGTTGGGCCTGGCCATCCGTTCGTATGCATATATGTCATTCATGAGATGTGGTTTGATTATTAAATTACGGATTTGAAGTGAAAATTCAACATGATCAAATTCAAAGTCCTATAATTAGGTTATTGGAGTGCTCGTCTTTAGAAGAGTACAGACAGTGGTTTCAATATTTTTTGGTTGAGTAGAGCGGATTCATTCGTTTGTGCTGTTTTTCTGACAAATTAATATTCATCATGGTTTGGACTAAAACAATATACAACGACAGTGCGTGGGAGGTGAGAGTTAAAAATCATGGAACTTCAGAAGATTTTGTTATTCCTCCTCGTAAAGATCTTGATTACAACCGTGAAGTTGGTAAAAGTGGCAGTGGTATTGAAGTGGAATTTCAGCGCACTCGAACAGAAAGAATGGCAGTCATGATTGTGGATGAAGGATGGCGTTTAAAGTTTAGTAGTGCTGCTGTTCATCATGGTCAAGAGAAGTTGTTTGTTCCATTTAAAGAACTGGTTGTGTTGAAGCATTATGCGGAATTTGATATAATATTTGAGAATGGTCGCAAAAGCATGTCTATAAACGATGTTTCCCAACCAAATGATTTGGAGAAGCTGAATAATAATTTTTTTGGCTGGGGTTTCTCTACTTTGAATGGCGAAACTAAGTTTTTTCGTATTGTGGAAGTATAAGGATGTTGATCGTCATCATCAACGGAGTCCGGGTTGATATTGTTGATATGGATGATTATGATAAAGTTTTTGAAGTAAACTGAAAAATGGTGCTGAAGAAAAGACTGAAGATCAATGTGATGAAATTAGAGAAATAAAAGTTGTGTTGTGTTTAATCGTCAATGTAATGATAGAGAAAGTGTGATGTTCAATGTAAATATGAGAAATAAAATTTGTGTTTTTGCTGATGTCATTTTTAATTTTTTGTGTGTACGTTTGAGTGATGAGTTGATGAATTGACTGCTTTGTCAAAAAGAATATAAAAACAAACAAACAAACAAACCCATTTTATATCACAACATTCAATGATCCTACTCAACGTCTGGATTTGTTAGATTATTCTAACTTCTAAGAAAATGATCATTTAATCTATATATATACTATGCAATATGTAAAAGAGAAAATTAATGCGCAATTTACGAAAATTCACTCTCTCACAATTTACTATTTAAACTTTTGATTAAGATATTTTGTTTTGTAGTGAGGTTTTTTTTTAATTTTTTTTTAAGAGCCTTCGTATCTTTCATTTTACCGAAATGTATCCCATCATGTATCAAAATTCATTACAACTCCATAATATTAAAAAATTACAACCGAGTGATATTTTATTTACTAGTTTAGATACGTGCGATATATGTATCTATAATTATAATTGAAATTTTTATAACATAAAACACACATAACAACATGGAGAAAAAAAACCCAGAAATTCAAAAAGAATATATAAATATATATTAGTCTAAATGAAAAGTTTCTATGATTAGATACATGAAACCTTCTAAATTATAAAATAATAGAATATACAAATAAAGGAGTTGAAACTTAGAAAAAAAAAAAAATCTAAAACTCGATGTTTTGTACTGCCATGAAATGGAAAATAGCACCTAAAACTCACTATTTTACACTTAACATGTAATGAGTAGTAGCATCTAAAACTCTCTGTTCTCTGTTTTGGACTACCATAGAATGAATAATAACAACATTAATAAAAAACAATAAGGAGTTAAAACTTTAAGAGGAAAGGAAAAAAATTAAAGCACCTAAAACACGCTATTTTAGACTATCATGTAATGATCAATAGGTACACAAAACAAAATGAGAAAAAAAGAGTTTGAACTTAAAATGGAAAGATAAAAAATAAAAAAATAAAAACTAAAGCATGCGCCTGTAACTCACCCTTTTGGACTACTACTCTTTTATATATTTAGAAGAGCTATCGAATTAGGCACCACGTATCCCAACTCTGTGTCCCATGAGTGTGGCCAAACCTTAAGCCAGCCAACTAGTATTGGGCACCATGTGTGCTTGTGGCATACCACGGGGCCTCAATTTGGCTTGCCATGTGCCCCGCACGCGGATAAGAGGCACATGAGCTAACTTTCTCGTCGTAAACCCTGCGCACTATTGGCCCCGCATGACTGATATTAGGGGTGTAAGAATTATACCCGAACCTGACAAATCCGCCCGACCCTACCCGAAAATGTTGGGTTAATTTTTTTTTTTTTTAAATTTTCGGATTATAATAGGCCCAACCCACAATTTGTGGGTTGGGCCGCGGGTGGGGCAACTGCTCACCCGAGTTACCCCGACCTGGCCGTTTAATGATTAATGAGATACAGAGTAATGAGTTGTGTGATGTATCGTCTGTCGTGTGTGAGTGAGAGTCAGAGTAACCCTAATCCCCCAGACTTCCTTCACTCTTCAGTTTCATTTTTCCTTCCTCCCACCCACCCAGTCGCCACTCGCCGCCGCCAGTCCCAGCCTCCCAGTCGCCACTCGCCGCCGCCAGTCCTAGCCTCCCAGTCCCAGCCTTCGCAATCGCACGCACCACTGACTCCCAGTCCCCTGCCGTGAGTCCACTCCGATTTCACTTCAAGCTTCCCTCGCTCACCTCCCAAGCCTGAGTCACCTCAATCTTCCATTTTTTTTCACCGTAAGTTTTTTTTTTCTTGATTGATGTGTGTTATCAACTTATCACCGGATTATCACCGGATTATCAACTTATCACATTCACCAGTTTCACCGGGTTTTGAGTTTGATCAGATTTGGGTTAATGTTGGTTTGGACTCATTCTTCAGTTTCATTTTTTCTTGAATTTTGACGTAGGGCAGGACTGAAAGTTTGAAGCACTGCCCTAAATTTAGCAATCTTACTCTCTCATTTTCTTCTGAAAGTTCATTTGAGGAGGAGCTGCTGCCTCTTGGTAAGTTCTAGCCTTGATGTTTCAATACAGATGTTAAATTGTAGATAGTAGGGAAATTGTGTTTCAATGCAGATGTTGAATTGATAATTAATGTATTTCTCAGAAAACGTTTGAGAGAGAAGCGATGGCTTCGATCCAAATTATATTACAGAAAAAAAAAATTTGAGAGCTTTTGCTTTTGATCACTTCGTTTACAAATGGCTACTTGGCAGTTGGGAGTATAAATGTACAATGAATGAAAAATTTAGGTTATTGATATTTTGACGGGTTAGTGTCATTGATAATGCAGATGTTAGTGTCATTGATATTTTGACGGGTTAGTGTCATTGATAATTAGGTTTTGTAAAATTAGGTTTTTTTGATAATTAGGTTAGTGTGAAAGCCTAACTTTGAATGCTGATTGTGTCTTGATTAGGTATACTGATTGGAGGAATAAGTAGGGTTATATGGTTTAACTTATTCCTCTTTTATGGCTCAAACTATTCATGGCTCAAACTATTATGGAGGAATAAGTAGGGTTATACTATTATGGCTCAAACTATCAGTTATTCATTATTGCATATAATTTGATACTCAATTTGTTTGTTTATTCGTTTTGTGAGTTTTGAGAAACTATACTTACAATATCAAATTCTTTTATTCTATTTGAAAATATTTATAAGTGAAGTGTTTGATAAGTTTTGCTTTTTTTTCTTCTAGTTTGTTTGTCCCCCCTGTATTAGCTTAATCCCTCGTCGCATAATAAATAAATTGTTAATTGGAAATTAGGTTATGTAGCATTAATATAAAATGATGCCAGAGCCTTAAGGTTTGTGATGACATAAAATTGATGATATATCATAATAAGGCATCTACTAAATCATACTACTATCATAATAAGGTATCTACTAAATCATACTACTATAAGACATACATTGCCCATCTCCTATACCTTAGTCTCAATCACATGTTATCTATTTTTTAGGTTAATTTGCGTGGTAGATGGAAAAATTTATCATCCATCCGACAAAAACTTCTGAAAGCACTTGCAAGTCTTCTGTTGAAACTGAAAGTGTCTCTATGCCTAAAGAGCCCATTACATTGCCCACTCCCACACCCAGCCCTACTCCTATACCTAATTTGGGCACTACAATTGAAAATGAAAAAGAGGAGGGAGACAATAAAAAGAGGAAGAAGTCACAAAAAAGTCTCCTGTTTGGGATCATTTTAAAATCATAGAGAGTGGGGATCCAAATGAGCCTATGTGTAAGTGTATTTATTGTGGGGCAACATATGCGTGTGATAGTAGGAGGCGCGGTACCAGTAGAATGAAGGTTCACATAGAAAAGCAATGCAAGAAATATCCATATAGGAACCAAGACAAAAGGCAAAAAACTCTGAGTTTCCAAACAAACTGAAACTGGGAGTAGTCTTGTTGCTATAGGCTTTAACAAGGAGCATTGCAAAAAAGCGTTAGCAAAAGTGATTGTAGATGAGCTTTCATTTAGGTTTGTTGAAGGTGAAGGATTTAAGAATTTTTGTCAAGTGATGCAGCCTAGGTTCTCTATCCCCTCCCGTGTTACGATTGCTAAGGACATTTACCAACTTTTTTTAGAAGAGAGGAAGAAACTAAGGGCTGAATTTAGTAAGGGCAGTCAATGGATTTGCCTAACAACTGATTGTTGGACATCCGTGCAAAATATTAATTATTTGTGTCTAACTGCACACTGTGTTGATAGTGAGTGGACTTTGCAAAAAAGGATTATAAACTTTTGTCAAATTTCAAGTCACAAGAAAGAGAGTGTTGGTAAAGTCATTGAGTTATGTTTGCATGCTTGGGATATTGAGAGAGTCTTCACTATGACTGTTGATAATGCCTCCTCAAATGACTCCATGATTACCTACTTGAGAAGGAAGATTAATGGGTGGAAAGGGGTTGTTTTAGGTGGAGAATTTCTTCATGTTAGGTGTTGTGCCCATATAGTGAACCTGATTGTCAATGAAGGTTTAAAAGACCTACATGATTCCATAGCTGCCGTTCGTAACGCTGTGAGGTATGTGAGGTCTTCTCCGGCTAGGTTACTGAAATTCAAGTCATGTGTAGAGCGAGAGAAAATTGAATACAAAGGTCTCGTATGCTTAGATGTCCCTTCTAGATGGAACTCCACCTATATGATGTTAGATGCAGCCATTAAGTTTCAAAAAGCTTTTGAAAGATATGAAGAGGAAGATAACAAGTTTGTGTCTTATTTTCGAGAAGATGAGGGGGGGAAGCGGAAGATTGGGCCGCCACTTGATGATGATTGGAAAAATGTTAAGGTGTTTGTGAAATTTCTGAAGACTTTTTATAATATAACTTTGAAGTTTAGTGCCACTTTGAATGTCACTTCAAATTCTTACTTTCATGAGCTGTGTGAGATGCAAAACTAGCTATCTGAATTAAGCAAACAAGATGATTCAATATTTTCATCCATAGCTGTGAGTATGAAAAAGAAGTATGACAAGTATTGGGGGAGTGTTGAGAATATAAATTGTCTTCTCTTTGTGGCTGTTGTACTTGATCCTAGGTACAAAATGGATTATTTGACATATTGTTTCTCTATAGTGTATGCTTCTTCCACTTCTGAAACATTAGCAAAGAATGTGAAGGATACTATGTACCGGCTGCATGAGGGTTATAGGGGGGACAAAGATGAATCTGTGGCTAATGCAAGTAGTGGGGAGGCGGCAACAACAAGTACACCAGAGGCAAAAATGACTCTAGAAGGAAAAGGGTGTTTGTGGAGCTCCTTTCTTAGGAAAATGAAGGAGAAGAATGTGAATGAGTACAAAAATGATGTGGACAGATACTTGACAGACCCTATGGAGGATCCAACTCGGTCAAAGTTTGATGTTTTAGAATGGTGGAAGAATAATGCAACTAATTACAAGGTTCTCTCACTAGTTGCAAGAGACATTCTTGCCATTCCTGTTTCAACAGTAGCCTCATAATCTGCTTTTAGTACCGGAGGACGCATCCTCAATCCCTTTAGGAGTTCATTGAGCCCCAAGATGGTGGAGGCATTGATTTGTACACAAAATTGGTTGCGTAGTCGTGAGCACATCAACCTTATTGACTTGGAAGAATTTAATGAATATGAAGATATTGAGTCAGGTAATCTTTTTACGTTTTACTTATTTTTTTTTTAATTTTATTTCATCTCCTTGTTGTTTATTTTGTTCTTCTAAACTTGATTCTGATGATTTTTTTTTTGTTATGTTTTCTTCTCAAGATTTGTCAAATTCTATTGCAACACATAAGGGGCAAGTTGGGAATGAAGATGCTATTATTCTGGATTAAACAGTTTGGAGTGCACTAACTTTTATTTCATGTCCTATTTTGCAACTATTTTTATATGGATTGTTTATCTTTATATGAATTATTTATTCTGGATTAAACTGTTTATTTTATATGGACTATTTTACATGTTAGAATGGTACCAATCTAATTGAAATATTCTAGTTGTTTTTATATTAGTTATCTGCTTTCACCAACCTAAGTAACCCTACCCTATCTGAGGTCACCCGAAACGTTGCGGATTTGTAAATTTAAGATAGTGTCGCGGCTCAAAATTTTCTCAACCCGCACTCGTCGGGTAGGCTCAATTTTTCAGCTCAACCCTACCCTACCCGGCCGATTTACACCCCTAACTGATATTGTCTGTCCACAATAAATCTTGACTACAGGCATTCACGTACCAGAAATGGTGGAGAGCCGTACACTCCCTCGTGTGTTTTATCAAAATAGCAGAAACTCTTCCTTAACAAAAAATAATTACGTCAACATCTCTTAATTTTTATAAAATTATAGAGACACGCTTTGTATTAGTTGACCTGAATTCGACTGTCAAAATTTTGCTAAAATGCCAAAAATGCCCATCTATGGGTTAGAAAATATTTCTAACAATTGTGGTGCCGAAATGTAATCTTGTTAAGAAGTCTTTGTTTTTGTTTTTCATCAATCTTTGTTTTGTTAAGTCTTTAATTAGGGGGCGTTTTTCTTTTTAAAGGTTCAGCGTGGTTCAAATCATGGTTCTTGGTTTTAGAACAATGTTTTCCTTTTATAAAAAATTTAAATTTCAAAAATCATAATTATGAACCACGGTTTGAACCTATGAGCCAAACAAACTCTAGGGTTGTTTGGTTAGGGTATTCGGAACCCTGATTCGAATCATGGTTCGTGGTTCGCTACAATATTTTCTCACAAAAAACACACGTAAATAAAAAATGGTTATAATCCATAAACCAAACGTTATCAAAAATGTTTTTAGAAGTCTTTTTTCAGTTCACTAGCAAAAAAAAAAAAAAAAAGTCTTTGTCCAGTTTCTCAATTAATCTTTGTTCAGTTTTCTTATAAGTCTTTTATTAGTGTTATTAGAAGTCTTTTTTCAGTTCACTAGCCCAAAAAAAAAAAAAGTGTTTATCCAGTTTCTCCATTAATCTTTGTTCAGTATTCTTATAAGTCTTTTATTAGTGTTATTAGAAGTCTATTTATTTCAAATAGTTTTAAAGTCTACTATTTACTTTATTTAATTATAAAAATCTGTAATTTACTATATTCTCTCTGATGTTTATTTAGTTTTCTCAGTCTTTGATTAGTGTTTTTAATTAGAAGTCTATTTGTTTGTTTTGTTTCATAAGTCTTAATTTGTTTAGGTTTTTTTAGAAGTCTTGTTTAGTTTTTCCACAAAGTCTTTGTTTATTTTTCTTTTCATATTTAGTCTTTATTTATTTGTTGTTGGTATGCATTGACGGGAAATATTACTCATTGTTTTCAATGTAATAAAGAAATAAATGAGAAACAAAAGTTAATATTATAGTTGTGTTTGATGTTTAAAGTAATGAAAAGATAAATAAAAGTTGTGTTTGTGTTTATAATTGCAATCAGTGTTTTTCACTGCGCGTCCTTTTTACGTAGTTTTGGCTTGTGCATCCTCAACTTGGCCTTTGACTCCATACAAGAATTTCGCTTCAACAACATTAATTCCAAGTCTTTCAATCGCGAATGAAAGCGCAGCGTCAGCCATCTTTTGATCTCCAAGAAAATCGATTAAACTCTGTTTGAAGTTGATTTCTTGAGACCTTCTGTGTGGATCTCTGCTTGACTTTGAAGGATATATATATATATATATATGCCAATATTGATATAATAAGATGTAAACTTTAGATTTATAATATCTAAAGATCTTAGAACATTATGACTCTCACATAATTAGAATTAAAAATGTATATTGACTCATTAATTTGATTTGAAGAATATCACTTCAACAAAAAATTTGAAGGAGAAGTAGAATCTAAGGGTGCGTTTGGAATTGATTCCAAAACGTTTTTATTTTCTGTACGAAAATAAAAATGAAAACGTTTTTAGTTTCATTTTTGAATTATTTCTAAAAATGCGTTTGGTAGTTTTATTTAGAGATTGATTTCAGTTTTAAAAAAAACTGAAACTGCGTTTGGTGGTTTAATTTTTGAAAACATGTAATAATATATTAAATAA